AGATCGATTTTCGCGCGAATTTTGACTATCGAACAAGTTACGCAAATCGGGCAGCAAAAAATAGCTGTATTTCGGTAGCCTGTTTACAGACCCTCTATTTCTTCTCTTTAGAAATCGTGGAGCGCGGGTATGAAAATAAAAACCGAGGGGGGTTTATTGCCCCCAATGGTAAGGGAATAGGGTGTTTGCTTTCCTTTTTTTATCGCGCTTGGGGCTTGTTCTCTTGTTCTCGCACCTGCGTGCTACAAGACAGGCCTCAAAGCGTCAAACTGCGCTTACCTACTACGGGTATACAGAATCCATCAGAATCACATTCCCTGCCATAGTCACATTCATAATCGCTAAAGCACTCGCGGAAGGAAAAATACCCATTGTAACTGGAACGTTTTCTGTTATCTAACAAGACAAAAAAATGAAGCAATTTGCCATGAAATGGAATGAAAAATGACGTCAGAGAATTAAGAAATTCAAAACTTCACTGCAGTCTTATCAAGCAGCGTTTCTTTAATTTGTAGTCGAGTCATTTCAGTTGTATACTCTCAGAAAACACGACAAAGATTTTTCTTAATTGTTCAATAATTTAAAGTTGTTTTTATTTTCCCTCGAAGTGCGTTTTTTTCTTCGTTAAAACTGCCTCGCTCGCGAGCAAATTATTTTGCGGTCAACGAGTTCGCGCCTTTTTTCTGTTTTCAAACAATTAGAATTTTGTTAGGAATAACTTTCTGAAAAAGATTTTGGTATTGAATCAACAGCGTATCGGATAAAACAGCGAAAATAGCACCCCTGTTCATGCAGTACAATAGTCCGGATCAAAGGATACTTAATGCGCGCTTTTTTCAAGGCAAAAAGACATGGAAATTCCTACCCTGTTGTTTGTTAGAATAACTCAGCCCTGCTGCAGTGAACTGGCTCTGCATAACCAATATCAGAACCCAGAGAATAAAGACAATTTGTGGAATCTTCTGAGAAACCATCTTCTGGCCGTGTTTTTGACAGGCAATGAGATATTGCCTCAATAAAGACGTGGGCTTTTTAGCAGCTCTTTTATAGCCCGCCTTTCGGCTTTGCGCATAAAATATTAAAGGAAAATGGAAAAAAAATAAAAGAGATAAATCGAACCGACCTTGATTAGCCGATGCTTTTATGTCTCAAACGAAACAGCGATAAACAGAAAGGTGTTACTCACAAAAACAAATGACATTCAGTTCGCGCAATTGCTGTTATAATTACATGGCTAGACAATTTTTTAAAAGAAAGTATGCAGTGTGACTGTATGGTCACATGCAATGGATTGGCAATGAAAATTTACCTTGAGAACGGCTTCAGAAAGAAAGCGGGATTAGGCAAAAAGCGCGAAGAAATTCCAAATTGAATTGCTTGCGTACTGGCAGGTACATGCATTAAGTGCTACAGTAAAGTAACTGTTAGTGATAAATTGTTCTGTTTAATTAAAGGAACGCTTTAATGATGCTATTTTGCAACGGCTTTGCTAATATTTTTTAGGGCATGGGGAATACTGATATGATTAAAGTCAATAACAAGGATCCTTGCGGAAATTACCCAAGCTTGTTCAACTAATTCGGATAAAAGTGTGAATTAAAGTAGCATAGCTATAGAAAATTAATTTGTGTTATTCATCTACACGACTTCAAATTTAATAAATAAGCAGGTGTTTTAGCTAGAGGTTTGAAACTGATCACGATTGCCGGGTAGCTGCCGAAATACACGTTATTACTAGTTTATTTAATAGTTTCAAAATATTTCTTTGTAGATGTTTTGATTATTTCCCTAATCTATGGGTTTGACCACCAGGCACTGAAGCTGAAAAATTGACTGTATTTCATAATATTTAAGACACTCGAAAAGTGCATTACTTTTGTTACTTTCTTCACGGAAAATTAGGCGTATTTCATTACACTGAATTGTTTGAGTTGCTTTCTTCCTTTAGTGTTAAGGAGGCTTTGAATTTTTGGCAACGAAAGATCTTTAAAAACCTTAAAATATCGACTGATGAGCGATAGTTGAACCGTTCATGTAGGCTATCAGTTTAATAGGTTCAGTCGAAAGACATGATGAGCCACAGACGGCCCAAGCTCAGTATGAGAGTTAATCATTGATACGAGAGGTGTCATATTGTGTTATCTTCAAAATGGCCGAGAGCAAAAAGGATTTGTGTGGGAATTTAGGTAATAGATTCCAGAAGATAAATACTTGCTAGAATTGTCAACAAAATACACTTTATCTTAATAATTTACTTTCTTTGTTCTTACTTGTTTTGTGCTTTTTTCCCGACCCGCGCGCGGTTTTAGTAATTTTGTAGAGAGTCTGAATGGGGTTACCTTGATCTGAACACTTATTTTTCGGCTGTCTAACAAGAAACAGTGAAATTTTAGGCATTTTAACACTAACAGTGAACATTTGACTGTAACAGTAACTTTTCCAGAAAGAGACAAACACTGCTCAAGAAGGCCAATATGATTTTGTTTAGTATATCCTAAGCAGAAGTTTTCGACAATTCCCGATTATTTCAGAAGATTTCCGAAGACTGCCGAAGACATCCGAAGACTACCGAAGATTGCTGACTGCTACGCCCCTTTGATCACTGGCTCAAAGTTCATGAGTTGTCTTATTACTGATTTTCCACGACCAGATAAGAATTGACAACATTTAATGATTATGGTTTTTTGACCAAACAAAAACCCTCCAAACACTTAAAAGTATTTTCCGCTGAAGCAGTAAGCATTAAATAATTGGTCAAAAACGCTGAAAATTATCGGCAAATATCACTCAGATCCTTCTTGTAAAATCAAAAGATCATATCTCATGGCAACACGTACGGCAGAGAAGGCATCCGAACTTAATCATGCAACAGAACTTGTATTTTAATATAATCGTTTTAATTTTTAAGGAAGTTTATTTCAAAAATTAATTTAGATAAACGTCATTTTCATGGCTTTTTGACGAAAAAGAAACTTCCTACTATGTTACTGCTTTCTCTTTGAACGAGTTTTTTAGCTCTTTGACGTAACGTGTTAAAGCTCTTTGACGTAACGTGTTAAAATAAATGATTGATTGATTTGATTGATTTTAGTAAGTTTAAATTTAGAATTAATTGTCCCAAATGTCATTTTCCTGCACGGCACGATCAGCGAAAACCAAGCTATTTTGGTTTTATCGTAATAGCATAGCTTATGCACCAGCCCGTTCTCCTTGGATACACACCAGCGTTTGTGCTAGCCATTTGGATCTGAAATTGGGTAGGTTCTCTTCAACCGCAGTCTAGAAATGGGTATGTTTGGTATGAGGTTTGAAATAGTCAGGGTAGAGAAAATTCTACATTCTGGGTTAAAATGAGGTCCGGGTTTTTGGAGAAAAAAGCCATACACGTTAACTAACAAATGGCGTTTGATCATCCTTGCCTTAAAATTAGTTTCGATTTTGGTTTTTCTGATAGTTTTGTTTTGGTTTTGTTTTGGTTTTTGCGTTCTTTTTTTTGCGGAAAAGTGTCGCTTATATATGTTGTGTCTATAAAAAGCAGTAGTTTCCCGGGATGAAATTAAACGAAGTGAACGATTAATTAAACAAGCTGTCGCTTGTTTAATTAAAAAGTGGAAACAAAAACGTTTTCAATACTGTTACGTGATAGTTGTACGTGCTATTATCTGTACGTGGAGGAAAAGATAGGTTTAAAATACGTATTTAACTATAATAAATAAATTTGATAGAATTCATTTATATATTGTTGTAGTAGCATTTTGTAAAAAATCACTACGGGTCTCATTCAGTCCACTGTGAGTTTTTTTCGCTTTTCATGTCTGATTGAAAGATTTCGTGAGGCATTTAAGAATACAAATGAGCGCCCCCGACAGCAAGACAGCAAGTCACTGGCATTTTTACCCTTACGTTTCCGTACATACATTGCCAGCGATCTTAAGATGAACCCTTGATATTTGCCACATGCTGTTGTCGAAACGTCCTGTGTTTTATCACACATTTTTACTCGCAAGTTTCTTATTTTACCTAACTTGTTGTAATTGTAAACCAATTACTTTGGATATAAATTTACTCTGAAGCAGAGTGTTATTGCTGCAGTGAGGCTATTTTTAATCTTTTAATCCCAATATGTGTTCAGCATAAATTAATTTCTATACATTATCAACGCCACATGTATTGGAGAGGCTATAAGAGAGGAAACCCACCATGGTATCAACAAGTACTTATTTTCCCTTAGTTTTATTTACATGATCAAAATGCCATTTTCAAAACTGAAATAACTGATGCATGCAAACATGTATAATGCAATCGGTGGATGAACGTAGACTAGCTAGAAATCAATTCTGATATAATTTTAATTTGGGTAAAATAAGTCCATTTGCAGTCACAGAAGTGTTCTGGGATAAACCTGTGTACAGCTTTGCACCAAACCAGGGATCCTAACCAAACTAATTAAAAACACATTTTAAACTCCTATCGTTTCAAGAAAAGTTGGAGATGACCGGCGCCTATGCGTCGACATAAAACGTCCTTTCTACTCATTAAAAAATTAAATTAAAAACTTTGGACGTGTTGTGCATTTGCATAAGACGTAAAACACTTCACCTTTTTCAGGAACTGATTATGTAACTAGAGTAGGGATAAACCTGGGATCGGGAGTAGGAAAAGTGGGAACCAGTGAAACCATCCACTCCCCCCGTTTGAAAATTCTTTTCATCCCTGGATCCTTTCTTCAATAATGATGTAACTTTTTGTAGAAGGAAGCTAAATATAAATTTACGAATTTACGTTTGGTTAAGGCGTTAAACGCTGTAAAATCATCAAAGCTACCCAAGATGGTAGCAGCTGCTTCATCTTAAAGAACTTATCATGCGTATTAGCTCGTGATTGATTCAGCACGCATTGCGTGCCCTTTGATTATTTAGCAAATACTGTCAAAGCAGGAACATCCCCCACACTTCGTGTCAAATTATAAAAAATGTAAATGCACCTCTTAGAAGTATTCAGTCACCACAAGCAATAGTTGAAATCAACAGCGTGCGTTCAGCAGTACACTGTTGTTGAAGTTGGAATCGAAGCATCGGTTGAAGGTAAAAGAAACCATTCATTGTAAAAACTGACTAATCTTGCAGTCTGAAGGGCACTAATTTATTTTTAAAATGTTTGCAACGTTAACATTCTTGTATTTCTGCTTATCTGAGCGAGACATAAGCGAAAACATGAAGGTAAAACATATCGTAAGATTCTGCTTCTCTCTCAGTCTTGTTTAGTCTAGCTCAGAGGCGTTGCACCTAAACAAATGCACTGAGTATTTGCCTTGAAAACTGAAAGATGTCCTCGGGCGGCGTAAGGGTATAGTATACTTATTCTCTTGGAAGAATGGTTAAAATGGTGAGGAGAAAAATCGATCACCTGATAAAATATTTACTTAAACTTTATCTAGCTAAGTTCTTTTCTTGCAATAACGAACAGTGCTCTAGGCAAAATTTAGATACTGCGATCAATTCTGGCTTTGACTGACGTATGAAACAACAACTGGGCTCGTGAGTAGTTTGATATTGGTAGTCTCTTCAGTTCTGTCTCTAAGGACAATAGGACTGCGCCAGCTTAGCTCGTTGTAAATTTATATCGGCGCGCCGTACTGACGATGCTACTGAAACTGCATGAAGACCAAATTCTTGAGTGGCGTTGTCATTAGTAGTAAGGTTGCAGAAGCAGTGATTCCATCTTTTGGTGGTTTTGTTGTATAAAACAGGGTGTATCCACCACCGAAGGTAAACTTTAAAGATTAGACGGCCACAAAACGGTTAAATATACACTAATTCCAATGAACTTTCCTACAAATTAGAGTTTTTGTGTTAAATTTTGCTTTTGCAGTAAAAGTAAACTGCATAGATCAATAGAAGCATTACTGTCAAAATCCATACAAATAGGAAAAACAGATCGAAGCCTCGGCAAGTATTTTGGTTTAGAAACATCCAGTTAATGTTTTAACCTTATGTCGTAGTAAATATAATTACATTTTTTATGGCTCAAAAATGATCCCCAACGCCCTAATATAAAAAAAAATTGCTAGAGGCTGGCTGCTCAAGCAGCCAGCAGCTAAATAGTCAGTTTTAGGTATTGAGTCATATTGTGATGCAAATAGTCCAGCTTATAGTCCAGTGCTTGCGTAACTGACATAAAATATGAATGACTGTTTACAAATCGAACACGCTCTGTATTTAGTTTGGAATTTCATTAGCTATATGAATCTGTTTAAAATTGTTTCGAAATCTCTCATTTTTGGTTCGCATCCGGCCGCGGGAATATTTGAGAACTGACAAACCAACCTTAATATTTTTGTAAGTGCTTCTCGTCACGAGCTGAAATTTTTAGGTGGTTTGTTGCATGTATTATTAATAATTAATCGCTGTCCTGTCCATCAAGTTTTCAAATACTGCCTGAAGGAGAATGTTGCCTGTACTTATATTTACATCTTCATGCAAACAGAAAAAAAAGTAATTTTAAACATAAATGTCGTATGTTTCCCTTTTGTTTTTAGGTGGCTTTCGGTTTAAAGAGAGCGATACTACATACAGGAGAATAACATCAAAGTCTGATTGACTGTTGAAACTTCAAACAAGCATAAAAACAAGACGGGACCGTTGGCATTTCTGTGGAATATTCAAAGGAAAAGCAATTGAATTTTCGCACTTAGCAGCGGAATTAATTTCTAAATTTAAAGCTGACTTGAAATAGATCTTCTCAAAAGAGTAGACAGGGATAATTCGCTTGGCGAATGGAAGCCTACTTCTCCCTTTGAAGAAATTGTGCAGCGCAAAGAGATTAAAGTTAAAGTGCCAGCTTGGAAGCTGTAAGTACGAGCTCGTGGTTATACAAGTTAAAATTAGGAGGATCATTATCTCTTCAAACTGTAAATACACCTCAATACAACGATGGCAACTTTTATTGGAGATGCATCAAAAGACGAATTAAGCAAATTATCACCAGCGGTTATTGCAGTTCATGTAGGATTAAATGTATTTCTTGCCATAGTAGCAATTTTGGGCAATTCTCTGATTCTCGTGGCTCTGAAGAAGGTGTCTTCCCTTCACCCTCCCACAAAGTTGTTATTTCGATACCTGGCAGTCTGCGATCTACTTGTTGGCCTCATTCTTCACCCACTCCATGTTATCGGCTTCATTTTAGATTATCAGCTGAGGATAATTGGACACCACCTTGATCATGCGACGTACGTCTTAAGTTTTGTCTTGTGTGGATTATCAATATTCGTATCAACTGCCATAAGTTTGGACAGACTTCTCGCTCTGAAGCTTCGGCTGAGATACAAAAAGGTTGTAACATTATCTCGAATTCGGGCAGCCATACTTAGCTTTCTTCTCCTTGTAGTTTCAATAGGGTTAGTGTACGTTTTCGTGGAAAAAATATACGCCTTGATTATAACTCTAATTTGCGTAGCATTTTCCATAATTATCTCAACTTTTTCTTACGTTACAATCTTTCGTACATTAAGGAAGCACCAAAGTATTATGCAGAGTCGCATCTACCAAAAACAACCTAACGGAGGGGGGAATCCGCTAAACATAGCAAAATACAAAAAGACAGTCTCTAGCATTGCTTGGGTACAACTAGCATTAATTGCTTGCTACACTCCATTTATTGTAGGTATTGTGGTTATAAAGGTAAATAATTTGATTGGATTTTATTCCGAAATGTTTTGGACGTTTTCTGGGACTTTTGTGTACTTTAATTCATCCTTGAACCCATTTCTTTACTGCTGGAAGTTAAGAGAAGTGAGACAAGCAGCGAGCGCCGCCATCAGAAGATACATTTGTTGTAAATCAAGTTAACCTTTTCACCTGCACGAGTCCCATAAAAGAAAAAAAAAGGCTAATTACCATTCTTTTTTTAAACATAGAGATGCTTCACTAAATGGTACTATGCTAAGGTATTGTACTATATGACTACTGGATAGGATTTGCTATTAACCTGAACCTTTCACCGCCCCATTCTTCCGATCAGTTCTTCTCGCTGGGGCTTCGCGCAGGGCGGCTCGCGTTGGAGGCTCCACCCTTCAATTTGCGCCAGACTCTCGCACGTAAGCCTACTTTCAGGCTCCTTTTCGCCCCATGCAAAGGAATCCGGATTCCGGAATCGAGAAAAGCTTTGCTTGTGGAATCCGAAACCAGGGAAAGTTTTGCTTGGGGAATTCGAGGAATCCTGGGCTTTGGAGTTCGAAATACAGCTCATGGAATTTGGAATCCAGAAACCAAATTCAACTGCAAAGAATCCGGAATCCACGGCGTGGAATTTAGATGTTTGGATTCCCTACACGGGGCGATAGGATGATCAACAGACTTCAAAGTTAGGACTCCCTTTTAATTTACTCAAAATAGTACCATTTAAAAGCACTGTAAAGAGAAATCAAATTAATTGGTACACCAAAGGATCTTTGATCACATCTATAAGGATTCTTTCTGGACAACAATTTTGAAAAGTGAGAATTTTAACTGCATAAAACTAATTAAAGATGGTATACTGCAGCTTATTAATAACTCTTGTTTCAATTGTCACACTAGAATTTAATTCAAAGCACCAATAATTAGAAACCTACTTTAAGTTTGCTTAATAAAATGCCTGACCAAGTAAAGGAAAACTACATGGCAAATATGAGTAATCAGTTGTGTTTGAAATTGACGTGCAAAAAAGAAAAAAAACTGTGTACCTAGGCTCAAAACGTCTAGAGGTAATCTATATATTTTAACATATCTTATGCCATATTCAAACTATGTATTTATTTCATTACTCCTTTGCCAGTTATACAGTGTCTACAAATCGCAGTTAATATATGCTATCATACGGGCAAAACGTTGTTTGTACGAATGCAAACAACCTGGGGTTAAGCTCAATAATAAAAACACAAGGATTATAACTTAGCGAATGGTTGATTTACTTGAAAGAAATAAAATCTATTATTATTCATTCATTCAGAATATGTCTTTGTTTCTGACTAATTTAAATCCCCTTTATAACTCCTCATAGCTACAGTCTCAGACAAAAATAGTTGGGGCACTTCCAACGAACGCTGTTTTTACTTCTGTAGCCTGCGTAGCCGGCGAGATCTTTCGCGCGAGGAAAGTTTTGGAAGAGGAGCTGCGAAGACGCGGTGCAGAGAATGGGAGACGCCAGCAGGCCGCGAGAGTGTCCTTGTCCTCTCAATGTTAACCAACCAAATCTTGATTGTACACATGACAAATAAATTACGATATTTTGCGCTAACTGAGTTCAATACTTGTTTTATCATTCGATCAACGAGTTTGTTTTTTAATGAATATTCTCGGGAAGCGAAGCGATCTGCCATTTTTACGCAAGACCGATCACAAGGAGGAGAAAACCGTGGTTTCTTTTACGCATGAGCAGAATACTTGCAGTCAAACACAAGCCTACACAGTTGGACGACTTTGCGCATGAGCAGACCATTATTTGGAGGCAGTCATTTGCAGGTCAAGTGATAGGCTCTCGGCCAATAAAAAGAAAGAAAAATTCGCTTCGAATGGTAATTGATTTTCATGTGGGACTTGATACTTTTCTTTTCATCATCGCAGTTCTGAGCAATTCGTTGGTCCTCGTTGCATTGCAGAGGTCATGGAGGTTTGCCCTTTTTGTCCGCCGACAAAAACTGTTATTTCGATCCTTGGCGGTTCTTGACCTTCTCGTTGGCTTTATTTTACTCCCACTCCATGTAATCGGTCTTATTTTGGATTATAAACTTAGCGAATATGGGCACGGCGTGGACGATATTTCATTTATCTTTAGCTTTGTTTTATGTGGCATGTACATTTTTATATCCACCGTCACTGAAGTCACGATAGGCTTTGTGCTCTATTTTAATTTGGTTTGTAACTTTACGGCGAATTCGCATAACTATACTTGTTTTCTCTATCGTTGGTATTGCAGTAGGCTCGATTTATGTTTTCGTTGGCAAGCTTTTCTCCTTGATTATAGCCTTACTGATAATAACATTTTCTGTTGCTCTGTTGACCGTTTCTTATATATTAATTTACCGCAGACTGCGACAACATCACGTACAAAATAATACCAGACCAAGTCCCAGCGCACTCGGACAGTGGAGGAGGTATTCTGCTGAACATAGCGCGTTACAAAAAAAAACAGTTTCTACTATAGCTTAGATGCAGTTGGCATTAGTTTTCTGCTACGCCCCCTTCGGTTTCTGCGTTATCGTAGTTTCTGAGATCCATGGCTGGAATGGAACCAACGCGGGGAATATTTGGACATTTGTTGCGACACTTATCTTTTTGAACTCTTCACTGAATCCGTTTTTTTATTACTGGAAACGCAGAGACGTCAGACATGCAGTGAAGGCAATATCAGCTCTCCGCTTGGTAAGGTCATTGTTACCAGATACATTTAATTTGTTGCAGTTCTGGCTAAGAGACACAAATCATTCCTCATATTTAATTAAGATACCTTCCCTGTGGTCTGGAGCGTGTAATCCTTCCAAACCNTTACGGCGAATTCGCATAACTATACTTGTTTTCTCTATCGTTGGTATTGCAGTAGGCTCGATTTATGTTTTCGTTGGCAAGCTTTTCTCCTTGATTATAGCCTTACTGATAATAACATTTTCTGTTGCTCTGTTGACCGTTTCTTATATATTAATTTACCGCAGACTGCGACAACATCACGTACAAAATAATACCAGACCAAGTCCCAGCGCACTCGGACAGTGGAGGAGGTATTCTGCTGAACATAGCGCGTTACAAAAAAAAACAGTTTCTACTATAGCTTAGATGCAGTTGGCATTAGTTTTCTGCTACGTCCCCTTCGGTTTCTGCGTTATCGTAGTTTCTGAGATCCATGGCTGGAATGGAACCAACGCGGGGAATATTTGGACATTTGTTGCGACACTTATCTTTTTGAACTCTTCACTGAATCCGTTTTTTTATTACTGGAAACGCAGAGACGTCAGACATGCAGTGAAGGCAATATCAGCTCTCCGCTTGGTAAGGTCATTGTTACCAGATACATTTAATTTGTTGCAGTTCTGGCTAAGAGACACAAATCATTCCTCATATTTAATTAAGATACCTTCCCTGTGGTCTGGAGCGTGTAATCCTTCCAAACCCGGCGTGTTTTTATGATTGGTTATACTGTGCAATTAGATCACGTGAATTGTCTCAGCTCGTGTTTGACAGGTGACCTCACATCCGAAATCGCCGAGGACGACTGGGAACAAGGCTGATGACTTCTTTAGAAGTAAGAAATTAAGGGTGCACAAAGAGAAGTTTTTTATCTGAGGCCAAATACTCATCAAACATTAATTTCCTTTGTATTTTTTTACGATTTATTATTGAGTATGAGACGTAGCGTTTTCTAGTAAATATTTCTCCTTTTTTTAAATCAATCCGGATGAACATAGACGGGACCTTAATTATAAAACAGGTGGGATTTCTGTTTAGTCTTTGGCCAGTGAAGGAAATATTAAATTTGACTTTGAATCTGCCCTTTAGTTCACTTTTCCTTGACAGTCTGTCACAGAAGAAACTGAAAAAAAGAAGGTTCACTGATCATTGACAACCTTATAAATGGACAGGAGTAACTTTCAGCTTTCGTCGATTTTGATCACCGCAAATTACGTGATGATCAGTATTTATGAACAGCAGCAGCTGAATGCTTATTTTCCTTCGACAAAACTGAATAATGTAAACATATAATCATTTTTATTCTGTGTTCTAGTGATGTGTCAGTAACTATACAAGCATATTAAAGACCTTGGATTGTTTTCAATTGCAAGAAAATCATTTAGCATTGTTCCTTTTTTTTACAGCTTTGAACACAATTATCGAGCAATAATCTACTCTGTATTTCCCCAGTAATTATATTAATGGAATGAAAATTCAATTAAATTTGACTAGTATATTACTACATTCGTTGACTTAATTATAGAGTTTTTCCGTTTTGAATTTGTTGAACAGTTTATTTAAGCACACAACCTCTTGGCTGCTGTGATGAACCTGTAATTAAATAACTTTTTGGGTCGATCAGTGTCAACGAAAACGTCTGATTGTCGTTTTTACCGCTTGTCTTACTCCTTTGAGCTTCCAGCAATAGAGAATCGGGTTGAGTGAGGAGTTTAAGTAGACAAGCGTTCCCGAAAACAACCAAACCATATGCGCGTAAATTCCTGACCATCTTTTGATCCGTATTGTTACAACACAAATAACGAACGGAGCATAGCAAGCAACTAACGCTAATTGAACCCAAACTATACTAGAGACAGTCTTTTTGTAAAGCGGTATGTTCAGTGGGGCCCTTCTTTCTCTTGGTTGTTCTGCGTGAATAAGGTCTTGAATTCTGACTCTATACTGTCGTAGTCCAAAGAAGATCTTTGAATAGGAGAGTATAGATATTATTACAGAAATTAGCACTAAACCCAGTGATATAATTAGGGCAATGCGTCTGTTCCAGAAAAGGAAACACAGCCCTACGGAAACACCAAGGCTGAAAAAGGCAACTACAACAGCACGTACTCTCCATAATGTTACCAAGAGTCTATACCGGAATCCTAGCAATAGAGCAAGAAGTCTGTCCACGCTTATTGCGGTGGATACAAAAATCGACACTCCACACAAGACAAAGCTGAGAACAAATGCGATCGTTCGAGCATACAGCACAAGTTTCCAGTTAACTTCGGTTAGATATGCCACAATAGGAATTGTGTGCAGTGGGTTTAATATGAGACCGACGAGTAGATCAGTAATCGCCAGGCATCGATACAGCAGCTTTGTCGGTGGGTGAACTGAGGAAACCCTAGGAAGCGCGACAAGGATCAGAAGATTACCAAGCGCCGCGGTAATAGAGAGAAAAACATTCAAGCCAGCGTGGAACATAAGAATTCCTGATGCAGTTGAACTTGCTTTGTTAATGATTGCTGTGGGTCCAAATTCATCTCTATTTAAGCTCGACATTTTATCGATTGCCACACTGAACAAACTGTGTCCACGTTATTTTTTAATATCCAGATTCGCACATGGCACCTGTCTCAAGTACAGCAATCAAACCTAGTAATATTCATAAACTCAAAGCTGTTTCAACTGCAGGCTTCGTGCGCAAAATGTACGACTACTCCGTACTTCTAACAAACCTATCTCTAGTTCGCTCGTCGGAAGCTCTTCAGATGAACAGAAACAAAATTACACTATTTGTAAGGTTGAACGCTCTCTATTGTAAGTTATGGTTACACCCAAGATATTTTATTGTTTGTTGAGAAAGTATTTTCATGACGTATAAAAACTTCTAGTCAAACTGATATGTATCAATATCCTGTTAGCATCAACAAATCACCTATCGACAGGGCGATCAAAAGATCGTCAGTTATTTTCAAAAGGTTTTTTTTTTTTTTCGTTTCGGCACTTCTATTGTGTAAAGTTGAATTTATAAACTTTTCAGTACAGTTTATCTTTAGATAGTCGACTGTTAGCTAAATCCTGAGGCATACGCAAAATATTCACCTTTATCAAAATATTTGCAAACAAATGACACGTAAGTGCGATTCTAACCATATTTGAAGAAGAAGAAAATTTCCTGATCATATAGTTTACTAGTGGAGGCTGATGTTGATTGTCCCAGGCTAACGTGATGCAGCTTTTCTTCTCAAAACAGTAAAACGCATGCTCAATTTAGGCTATGTTTTGTTACGTTACGTTCTGATTTATAATCTAGAAGTATCTTTTAATTTTCACTTGAAATTTCTACAATTAAATTTAATTAAAATGTTCACTGTGCAGTAAAACTGTTTTTTACCTTACTCTCGGCTATTTTCTTCGGGATCGAAAAAAGGTTCGAGTTATCGGGAGTCCACTGTACGTGCTTAATCTGTTCTTTCATTAGTTGTCCTTACATTACCTCTGAAAGCCTGAACTCTAGACTGACCACAACACATCAGTTGTTGTAGTTTTGCCTCTACTGTCTCTCTGACGTCTCTTATCTTCCAGCTATACAACAAAGGATTCAGGGTCGAGTTTAGGTAGACAAGAGTTGAGGCAAACCTACTAGCAAGAATAATAGATGGAGATAAACCATGGCTAGTCATTAAGGCTGTTACTATACCATACGGAAGATAACAGGCTACTAATGTTAACTGCACCCAGAGAGCTGTGGACACTGTTTTTCTGAATCGTGCTATATTCAGTGGAATTCCAGTTCTTCTCAGCGGTTGTTCGTGGGAGAATCGTTCTTGTTGTCTTTGATGAAGGCGAAGAGTTAAGTAGATTTTTGTGTACAAGGAAGTTGAGGTTACGAAACAGGCTATTATCAGTATATAGCCATACCACAGGAAAATAAAATGAACCCAGAAGTACATGGTTGCAGCGAAGACGTTCAGGAGCCATATAAATGCTATTACCGCACAGGTTCGCTTCAAAGTTACAACTTGTCTGTACCTTAGCTTCAACAGCAATGCCAGAAGTCGGTCCACGCTTATTGCAGTTAACGTTGAGATAGAAACGCCAAAAAGAATTACGCCGATGATATAACTTGGGACTAACATTCGACTGCAGAGCTGTTGATCTCCTTGCATGGACAAAAACAAATGGACCACGTTGAAGGGTTCTAGAAGAACACCAACTAACAGGTCGGTGCACGCCAGGCAGATGAATAAAAGTCTGGATGCAGGATGTAGGGAACACTCCTTAAGGGCAACAAGGATAATAGAATTTCCTAATAATGCAGTGAAAGATAAAAATATGTTCAGTGCAACAAGGAATCTCATTGCAGGTTCTTCACCGGAAGACGAAACACAAACTTCCTTTTCAAAAGTTAAGATTTTACCGCCAGTAAAGTTGCTCATTATTTTGTTGTCTTTTAGTCAGAACAACTTTTCTTCAAAGACCAACTTCGCCGGCGGTTTCAACTTTTTTTTAAAAAAGCAAATTTGTATGGGACGACGTTTGTTTATTCAACCTGTTCCACAATTAGCATAAACTAAATGTAGTCTAATATATAATTTAAACGGTGCAATAAAAGGATAAATTCTCTATAATAAATTATAAGCTACATATCAATGCAACTGAGGAAATACTAGCTGCCGATACACCTTTTAATTATCTCGAGGGAGGCCTTGCATTAAAATAAACGTCCTCCATATTAGGACGCATATTCTGTATTCACATGGAGACAAACCCAAGGAAATATATAATTGTAATATATTTGTTTGTTCTAATCTGTCAAGCAATATCTGCCCCGCAGATGGTGCCTCCATACTTACAAGCCCGCAGATTAAATTTCGGGGCTATAAGAAGCGCCGGGATATGAACTAAAACATGTATGCCCTGAAAACAGTTTTAATTAAAGAAATGAATACATCTTTACCCTCCTTCGTTTAATTTTGTAACTACCAAAAAGTGTGTGGTATTTTCATTTCAATTTATCACAATAAACGAAAAGCTGCAGGTTTTTTTATCAAATTTAATTTCCTTTTTCATTTTTATTAAATATATACTTATTTTCTTAACTGTATATGTTGTTTGCTCCTATGGTCGTTTGTGACATCAATACCCATTAGACTAAGCCCGTGTCCTGAGATTAGAGTAAATAATGTGCTAAATGAGCTTTGCAGCAATGTGAAGATGACAGTTTTGAAAATGGCTTTCCTAATAGCAGTGCCAGCAAATTTATATTGCTGCGTTTACGAGCAAATTAGTCCGTCAAGATTCCGAGCTGTGTCTCGAGATTTAAGAAAACTCAACTGTTGGGAACTGAAATTGTTTTCAAAAAGAGCAAATAGAGATAACTTAAATTCCAATGTTCATGGTGACGTTATCGGCTCAGTTCGCTTTGAAACTGGTTCTTCATTGCATTTAATTGTTATTTTTCTCTGCACTATCATAAAAAGGACGAAAGGTTTTATATTCCGTAGAAATTGCTGTAAGAAGCAGTCACATACCCTCATACCCGCCAGTTTGTACACAGTAAATTCACTCTACGAAGGAAATCATTGCCCGTATATAATCAGTGCCGGTATACATGACGTAGTGTGTAGTTGTTTGCCTTCGCTTAGCGGTATACATGACGTAGTGTGTAGTTGTTTGCTTTCGCATAGAAATTACTGGGAAAAATGACTCAGGGAAAGGCAGGGCCGTAGCCAGTATGAGGCGAACCGAGGCACTCGCCTCGGTAAAATTTTACCAAATACTGTCGATTTTTATTTTTTTTATCAGACTGATAATATTAGAAGATTTCATACGGCTGATTTCGTACAACGGACCGTGTGTTCGCCTCGGTTGTAGTTTCTTCCTGGCTACGGCCCTGAAAGGCAGAAACTAACTCTAGGTGTCCGCTTTACAAAGGTGTCAGTCTTACAGAGTATTAAAAGTAAATAATAAATTGGGAATTTATTATCTTAAAAGCAGTGCCAGAAAGTCCGACAGGATTCTATCTGTAAGCATCTTCCAAAGCACCTCCGGAACATTAGCTTCGTCTGTGGTCCATCCTTTTATCACTTACGCTGATGACAATCTGTCCTCAAGGAACATTTGCATCTGTTAGAGATGTCTGTTTAGAAAAACGTTGAGAAGTATAATGGGTATTGGTCCGGTGTTTCCAAGTTAAAAATTTTGGAAGTCCACCATTACATCTATCGCCCCCAGGAATGGTTGGCTAAATTCATTGCTGAAGACTTTCTTTCCTTCTTCTTCCTCTTTCTTCAAGATAAAGACTTTTTTTTTTCTCGGCGCGTGTGTCGCATATTTTTNTTACCAAATACTGTCGATTTTTATTTTTTTTATCAGACTGATAATATTAGAAGATTTCATACGGCTGATTTCGTACAACGGACCGTGTGTTCGCCTCGGTTGTAGTTTCTTCCTGGCTACGGCCCTGAAAGGCAGAAACTAACTCTAGGTGTCCGCTTTACAAAGGTGTCAGTCTTACAGAGTATTAAAAGTAAATAATAAATTGGGAATTTATTATCTTAAAAGCAGTGCCAGAAAGTCCGACAGGATTCTATCTGTAAGCATCTTCCAAAGCACCTCCGGAACATTAGCTTCGTCTGTGGTCCATCCTTTTATCACTTACGCTGATGACAATCTGTCCTCAAGGAACATTTGCATCTGTTAGAGATGTCTGTTTAGAAAAACGTTGAGAAGTATAATGGGTATTGGTCCGGTGTTTCCAAGTTAAAAATTTTGGAAGTCCACCATTACATCTATCGCCCCCAGGAATGGTTGGCTAAATTCATTGCTGAAGACTTTCTTTCCTTCTTCTTCCTCTTTCTTCAAGATAAAGACTTTTTTTTTTCTCGGCGCGTGTGTCGCATATTTTTGTGATGTGACCTTAGATTTACTGAATATATACATCTTATCAGATTGGCAATTCAAGCACTATATATCAAAGCTAATTATTAAAACCGAACTACAACACCGTACGCAATTTTATCCGCAGGAACATATTAAACAGAGTTTATGATAAGGAATATGGATTGAATTAACCAAGCATTGCCTCACTAGTACGCCGGTAACTTTAATTTTTTTTCACTGTTACCACAATAAAGTCTACAATGTAGCCCTGCGCCCTCAGACAGAGATAATCCCTCCTTCTGTTGAACTAAGTCCAAGCCGTGCGTGAGCTTGCGCGAGCAAGGGATCCTGGGTCCAAGAATCTGTTGTTTATCTTTTTAAACAGTTCAGTCTGTTCTATACAAACAGCACAATGTGTAAACATAATCTTAATTTTAATGTCAGCCGTACAGTACTCTTTCAGTGGATTGGACGATTCATCTTCATTTCCGTTATACTCACTCAGGCTGTGTTGTTAAACCAGTATTTAGTACTATACGCGAACAAGTCCTCGTTTCAGGCCTTCACGCTTGCTTACACACCTGCGGTATTGCTATGGGTAAAAGGACAAATGAACTCTACACAGGGCGAAGTTGCTTCAGGTGTTTGGTTCCTGTATATTCTGTCTCTCTGCATACATTCGGGATGGATTCTTGGTACTCTAATGTCTAAAATTGACATAGAATCTTCCGGGCTTGACCACGGATTTCTGAAATATCCTTTGTCGCTCACAGCAATAGTGTATATGCTGTTAGATGCTGAAGAGTTTGAAATAACATTGCATATGAACCTGAACTGGCCCATTCTTTTGGATATTTTGGACATTGTCGATATTCTGGATCCAATCATTGATCCTCGAAAGAACGCAGTTTTACCGCATGACATAGACTACTGCATTTGCGCGTTTGTTATCGTCAGTCTTATAATTTTGACCTTCAATTTCGCAGGGCCTGTCAGAGAAGCTTTGAACAACACCGACGAGACGAATGAAACGCAAGAAATAATATATACGATTTACATTATTGTCCAAGCAGTTCTCGTAAATTTTCCTTTTTTAGTAATTCGTCTGGTCGTTCACTACAAATACAAAGCAGGTGCGTCAGTTTTTGCATTTAAGAACTTACTGATAATCGTCGCAAACTTCGCCAGAGTTCGCTATGGTTGTTGTAAACGCGATGAAAAGACCAGCACAGCTAATGGCCACACTCCGGCCAACACTGAAGATTTAGAATCTGCAAGTGTAATAATGTCTACGCAATCAAGTCGTTTGGGAGATGATGCCTCGAGTATAGCTTCGTCTGGAAAAAGACAACAGAGGGAGGAAAGACAGAGATCTAGGCTTTTGACTTTGGAAGACAGAGAAGACCCCGAGGAAATTATTGTTTTGAGTTAAAGGCCTCTTGATCTGATTTTATTCTACCAATTATTCAAATTAAGGGTCAAGAAGGTTTAATTAAAATGTTATCGATCAACAGAAATTATATTAGTAACAGAAGCGGAATGAAGTTGATTTGGGTAGGGACAATCCGAGAAGAAATTATAAATTTTTTTTTATCGAGAATTGATTAACAGACTTTAATAGCCCTCAAAATCTAAGTGAACGAACGAACAGATTGAAGGAATTGATCGATTATAATTTAAATTTGGAAGAATTCGCTTTGATTAGTTTCGAGTGAAATAATCTCTTGTTTGTAACAACTTGACCGTGGACAAGTGTACGGCACACAGGTAGAACAATTTTATAAACCCATATGGTAAATAACTAACGACTATGGATGTGATTTGATCAGAATTCTTGCTAGGTATTTTAAAATGTTTCTTATGGAAATGACGCTCAGTCAAATGTCTGGGACGTGCAGACTAGACATAACTTTTAACCAAAAACACTTTTTAAAATTTGATTCCCTGATTTTCTTTACCAACGGATGCCCACCCCTCCTGCTGAGAAGTCTGTCTTTTTAGTATATTTACCTTCTATGGATTAATGTTCATCATTTTCGAAATTAAAATATCGCGTTTGTGAACGGAAGGAGGTGTCTTTTCTTTCAGTTGTCTGAACCTAAGCGAGAAAGATAGTTCTAGTCAATCACTCGTTTTCTTAAAGGTCTTTCACCGAAGTAGCAAAAACAGTGATTATCAGTAGCGTTTTTTTAAATATAAATTACACTGAATTGGATATATTATTTTCTACCCAAACAATGACTTGAAAATGACTAAAATATATAAAATAAAAGATATGATTAGGTAATTAACGTTAAGGTAGTCTTTCTTTTTCTTTCCCTGATTCGATTTCATCTCGTACTCGATTAGCATTCAAAGACCAAATATGTTCACGGATTGCTCGATATTGTGACGATCGAGCCGACTCAGGATTCCGAGGTCAGTGATGACTCAGTCTACTTTCCTTAAATTTTCTTACCTTACTATATTCATTGCTACAGACATCAGTTGCTTCAGTCGTTATTCTGACCATGGTGAGAAATTAAGTAAATTGAGCTAATGAAATTGAAGCAAGAGAGAATGAGATCCAGATTGAAGATATTGTTTGAAAAAGAGGTATTCCCGGCGTCAAATTTTTGAAGAATTCTAAATTGACGACGGAATTCGAGTCCCTACAGAGTGTTTAGAAACTCTTTTTTTGCTTAAGACAAAACAAAGCTTAAGAGACTTCCGCTAAGAAAAATTGTATTAATATTTAGAGAATAAAATCATAAAGCTATCTAGCTATGTTAGCACGAGGGAGCAACAATGAAGTGCTGGCGACTGTTACAGGCCAAACCTCCAAGAAGACTGTTGGTCACGTGGTTGTATAACTTGCACTACAGGAGTGCAGGCCGGTTAAGGGCCTTTCCAGTTCTTCAAACTGTTGATTTAGTGTGAGATCTCTGATTTGATTTTCTTTTTCCGAATTAGTGTTTCGCTTTGCTTCGGTGATGGGATAAAAGCTTTTTCATAGTGCGTTGCTAAGAACACTTAAGAACCAATTGATATATATGCTAGGACTTGATTTGAATCAGGATAATTCTCAGGGCCTGATGGGATCCTGTTTGAATCAAATGACAGATTTTCGTTCGTAGGGTCGCATTGAAAGTCGGTCTTAAACATCGAAGTCAAGATGCAGGCTAGCTTCTTGTTTGAGAAAAGTATCACTGGGACAGTGTTTCACAACGACTCGAACGACAAATCGATTTAAGTTTTTAAGGGAAAATAATGATACTCGTGATTGAAAGTAACGCCTAAATACTCAGATGTAAGGCTAAGGGTCATCGCTTTTTGCTGTGTAGGTTTTTGGTTGTTTTTCCAACGATTATCAGTTTTAGAACGTGAATAAAATCTATAAAGCATGAATTGTCGTCTGAAGTATTATTTTAGGTAACTGGGAGTAATTTTGATATACCTTGTAGGATCTTAGCCTCCAAAAAAAAGGTTGTGTTATATTTTCCTTTTTCAATACTCTGCTGCTCTTTTTATATACTGTTTGCTTTCGTACCATTACTGTTAGTGGGACACAAGTTTCGTTCGCGGGTGATATTTTAAAAACTTTGAGTGGAGTGTTTCGTTGGTGTCCCTCTTTGTGAGCTGAAGCCGGTACTTCAAACTCTATTTACAACTAACATTTAACGATTTGACTAAGAAAGAAACGAAAACAAAAGATTTTAAATAACTAAGTTGCACGGAAAGAAAACATGAAAGATTGCAGCAAAGCAAAGATAAGAAAACTTAAAGATTTTTCACCGTGGCTGAAACGTAGGTGAATCACACAAATACAGTAGTTTAAAACAGACAGATGACCTAACGAGCTTTAAGGGCCTGTTAGCATAGATGTGGGGAACCCCAGGTAGGTGAAGTAACCCGCTTAGGTGGGGTAACCCACCTATTCAGATAATCTCTCATTTTTGTTTGACCACGTTTTAAATGATACCGTAGGGTGACCATGGACAAGTCTTGACTCGCTCCTTAAGAACGGTTAGTTTCTATATGTATAAATGTATGCGCGAGAAAACAAAATCTAATCCCTAAGCAAGGTTCACCGCTACAATGAATAATAGCCCGCCAAATGATAATGAGAATTCAAAATTCTTAACCACGCATGCACCTACACCATCTCAGACCTTGAAACAAAGGTATCATTTGCTCCCTCATGTCAGACTTAGAAGCCAAAACTGGAACTCAATAAAACACTTGGGAGGTGAAAAATTGGAACCCCATCATCCCAGAACCATACAGACATATTCGTAGGGCGTTTTTCAAGCATTAATCCCCTAGGTGCTGGAGGTGGGGGTATCGACCCGATCATGAAACTGTTTTGTGGAATAAAGAGACTTAAATCAGAACAATCATTCGTCCAGTTTAGAGATAAAGTTTTTATTAATTATCCTACATAAAATGCAGAAACATTATTCTTTTTTATAAAGCTTATATCGTATTTTTCAAGGATAAAATATTACAGAACTGATCACTATGAGTTTTAGAGCGCTGAGCAATTTCTTTCGATCCTTTTTATTATATTTAGGACCACTGGAATTAATAATTTACATCCTGTTTTTATAAGACCCTTGCAAGAGGAGACGACGCAAGTTCCTAGAAGGAACATGGATTATACGTCATTTGTGATTTGAAATGTCTGATTCTAGTCTGATCACGTCCCCAACATACATTTCGACGAATTCAGTTTGAGCCATGACTCTTAACTCTGTTTATGAAATAACTGAGAAGCCGTTCAGGAAAAATAACAAAAGCTTATCTTTTAAAACCCTGAAACATTAAAAGTACTAACGGTGTACCAGTGTTTCGTTAGAGGTTTCGTTTGAGTAGCCTGAGAAAACACCCGACATTTTGCGACGTCACCACTGGTTTCCCCGCGAAATGACGTCTGAGGAGCGACTGCAAAAATTCCATACTGATGACGTGTTACTACCCAGATCGGGTAGATCGCTTGATTGGTCGTGCTGCGAGGGACATTTGCCTCAACCAATCAGAAGCACTGCCCAGACCTGGGTATTAACGCGTGATCGGTATTGACTGATTTCTGCGCTCGTATGTCAGACGTCATTTGATGGGAAAACCAGTGTTGTCATTGCAAATGATCGGCTGTTTTTTCGGGCTGGCGTTCGATATGTTATCAACTTTTTACAGGCTGAAAAGTCAGAACTTTCGGTTCTCCACTGACTTACAAAGGAGAGAGAAAATAAATTTTTCATTATTAGTATTTACATTTGGCTGGGCGAGATATAACGCCAACTATCCTCGAAATTTCTTAAATCTTTCTCAAGTTCCATGTCATATTCTTTGAATTCATTTATGCTCATGTCACGCATTTTCCCAGGCTCCTTTCTCGCCAGCGCCTACAGAGACAAGATGAAGTGAACTGATTAATATAATTCAAAGTCGACAAAATAAAAAGCGAATTGATAAATGGAGAGGGCGGGAGGGGGAAAAGCGGAAGAAAGAAAGAAACAGGAAGAGAGAACAGGACAAATTCGTACCTTCCTCTCTTCCTCCTCCCATCTTTTCAGGCTCTCTGTTTTCCTGCTCAATTTTCTTGGCGTCTTCCATGCACACTATCTGAAGGGATCTTGANAGAGAGTGTCTCCACTCTACTCTCTCCCCTCTTTCCCCCTCCTCTTTTTGCTGTTGTTGTTGTTTTCTGCTCTAGTTGTTGTGGGCGGTCCGAGGGCAGCGGTGGGGGGGGGGTGGGGGGGGGGGGGGGGGGGGGGGGGGGAGGGGGTCCTCCTTCCGTATACCTTCCATTGACAAATGGTATCCCTTTTTTGTGCTTAGTGTAGAAATCAGGACATTTTCACGACTTTTTCAAAGCCCCAAAATTCTTCTGTTGGCCCTTTTAAGTCTTTCTATATCATTCTGAAAAGGCAGTTTTCCTAACCCGCCTTTTGTTGCCTTAAATAAATAAAGTTGTTGATTGATTGATTGTGTACAGTTGTACTTCAAATAGTGAAATCTATGTCCCTTCTTATGTATATCTAAAGCCTGAAAAAGGTAAGCCTATCGGGAGGAAAGAGCCTCCTCGTGTAAACTATCATAGAAGATATCTCCTCAGGAAGGGAGCAAGCTATACGTGGTCGAGTTTTCTTTATGCTTGGTGAACGGAATTTCGAAAATAAATGTCCAACGGACGTACCTGCCTACTTTCTGCTTCATTTAGCGACTCGTCTCCATGGGTACAACCGTACCCGGCGTGACAGCGTTGTCGTCTTTTAACCAGTCCAGTTTGTTCCAGTCGTCTCTTATTCTGTCACAAAAGATTGGTGTTAAGACAAAAAATTGACTTTTTGAACGGGAATGAAAGTGTTAATCATGTTTTTGCGAACCTTAAGCCTCGTTTTCCTCCGGGGAATTTTTGGTGGGGGTGTGCCGCCTGGTTCTTCAAATCCTGACCCTATCTCAGACCAAAGAATGTCATTTTCCAGACCTGTTTTCAGACCAGACCACTTTTCAGAACTGGCCTTTAGGCAGAAATTATGTCATTATTACTAAGATTAGAGCGCAAACAAAAAAGTTCTAGCAATCTATTTAGAATTCGCATGTTTCTCTTTCTTTCTTAGACTCTTCTTACTCATTTTGAATTGAAACGATAAATACGTTCGTACACTCCCGTAGTTCCCTCGAAAGCCATACCCGATTCCTGTCCAAAATGGACAAAATCTCATACCCGTAAGACCACGTGACTAAGAAACGACGGGCTCTGGGGACAAGAATGGGAACAAATACGGAATGGACGCATGCAAAGGACGCATGTCTTCGGTCCATCGAGAAACCACTGACCAAAGGCAGTACGAGCCTCGACCCGTGCTGAGAAGTCAGCTTTTGTGTGATGCTTGTCTCGATATTTCACCACACATCTGAGCCATTTTGCGCCTAGATGTCACTCTTCGAAAATAATTGTTTAGAACAGAAACGATTATAGCCATCTGAAAGCATTTTAACAGCATTTTCAGTTTTACAGAATGAAAATCTGTCTACAGTCAACTTGCGCACATGATCATTTGCAGTGATCTTTATCGAGCTTCAAAACCTGGTGTTGAGTATTGAAGAGAATCAAGGCCAACCTTGATGGAATAGAGCTAAATCGCAGCAATAATTCGAGGTGACGTATAAGAGAAGAAATAGACCGTGAACCGAGGCACAAATACAATGCTTTGAATCTGGCTTGGGTTGACAAAGTATAGTGATTTGTGTGACATTTTGTATTGCCCACCCAAGTCATTTTGCGAATGCGTTGTTTTGGCTGAAAGCATTTTCTCTACCATATTACAGTCAAACCGCTTATGTTTATAACTTTGTAGTTCCAAAAAATGTCTATGCCCTACCCTACTAATACGGAGGGCAGAATTTCCATCGCAGGGGGTGCTTGTCACATCCCCTACCCCCTGGAATTTCTGTAATTTTTCCAACCTGGTTGGGTACCCCCTGGAAAGAACATTTCTATAAAAAAATGCTGTTGCACTATATTTTTATGTGAAAGCCAATTGTTGGCTGTTATGAAAAGTTCACTGGTCTTCCCTGGGATGCCACAATAATTTACATGTAAATTTAAAAGTGTTACACATTTCTGGACAAACATGTAAGCGTGGAGGGGGGAAGGTACTACTATAATTTTTTGGAAGGGGTGTGCTACTGGGATCCTGGACCCCTTGCCTTAGCCTTCACCAGACCATCTTCAACTGCCATATTATTTTTCTGCTTATTCTGGAGTGGGCAGCAAAAAACCCAACCCTATCACAGACTAAGGGCCTGTTTATATGGAGGCATGGGACCCCAGATAGGTGAGGTAACCCGCCTGTCCATTATAATCTCTCATTTTAATTTCATCATGTTTACATAGTAGGTGGGAAGATCTGCCTGGGTGGGTTGCCTTGTTTGCTAGACCAGGTAAAGTCCATTGCAGCTGGGACAAATTTTGCCATAGTAAATGTTTCAAGGTACCAGGGTCGGATTCATGTTGCATCATTTAAAGTGAAAGCCACACCACTGAAAGGATCACAGCAAGAGCAGCAAGTGTTGTTTGCCTACCATTTTTGTAGTTATATGATTGATGACCATTCAATGATCTTGAGGAAGTGCACTCTGAGATGGCAGGGTTCTTAAAGGGTGCATGTAAATGTTGGTTATTTTCTTACCCCACCTGAGCAGGTTACCTCTCCAACCTGGCATACCGGCCCACCTCCAAGAAAACAGGCCTTAAGTATCAACAAGAAATTTCCAGCTCTTCATACAACTGATCAGTTTCCCATAAAGTGTTCTTATTCCAGACCAAAATTTATTTGCTTTCCATACCCTTTATCCCTGACTGCACTCCTTGAAAACTCAACCCTTCACAACAAAACATTTCTGAATAGCCCATAAATGGCAATGCCCCCCACCCCCCTCCCCCCGAACCCCCTGGGGCATAAGGGGTTGGTGTCAGTGATATTATGTAAATTTAACCATGCTGTCATTGGGCATGCCCTTTTTAAACCTATGAGCACCAGAAATGGAATGTCACTGTGTTGCAAAGAAAAAGCCAATTAACTAGTTTGCAATTTTGCTAGTTGCTCATGTTACCTGATCTTTGTAGTGATTGGCTATAACATAATACGCATTTCTGAAATATTTGAGGTGTTGACAGTTTGAAGTAAGATTTGGTTTTACATTGCTCAATTAATGGAAACTTTATGGGAATACCCAGACGGGCAAGGGAGTACTCGACAAAAAGTTGTACGAGGCAGAATAACCCCTTATCCTTTTATATATAATTTTTGACAGAAATGGTACCCCTTTGTTATCTGTTTTACTTGCAAATGGTGCCCCTTTTACATACTAATTTAGAACCTTTCATGCTGTACTTCAGCTAGTGAAATCCTTTCCAGCTTTCATATACCTGAAGCCTGATAAAGGCAGTTGTGTAGGAGCTGCTCGTCAGGTCTCTCCCGATTGTTCGCAGAAAACAATGACATGTCATTCTGTCAATTGTTTCAGTTTTTGTTTGGGGTCAGGGTTAGGCACCATTGGTGACTTCTCTTCCAAGCAGCTGCTACATGACCCAAAAAAAGGGACCCCTTTTGGGTGGAGCTTCCCTGTATAGGCCATTATAGGGAATACCCCCACTCCCCCCACCCGAAGGATGATTACATAGTTATGTTTCCTGACTCAGCTGTATAAGTATGCTAAGGTTTTCTTTAAGTAGTTTGTTCCTCACCATATCAAGTAGTATGTCTTGCAGAAGATCTTTTTTCATTTTCTGATCACTAATGGACTGATACTTTGGAACAAATACAAATTTTGTATTTCTGCTCCATTCATCTTGGCTAGTTCTCTCATAATCTGGAAACAACTAAAAAGGGAAAGAAAAAAAGTTAGCAACTCTGCAGAATATTTGTGGTTCAGTTTTATTCTTAGTTTGAACTTTATTCTCTTTTGTACTAATTCAGCATGGTAATGCTGGGGCAGATCCAGGTTTTTAGCATAAGAGGTTCAAAACGTAAACTCCAGTGCCTCCTCCCCCCACAATTCCCCCTCATTCCCCCTTTTTCTGCTGAAAAAGAAGGTAGATCCCCGGGGGGTACTCCTGGAAATTCTTGGTGGGGTTGTGCCACCCGGGGGTCAATTTAATAAAACTATTAGTATAGGTAATAGCATGATATGTAGTGATATTTGGTATAAATACCACGAGTGATATTTCAAAATTGTTATACGCAATTTCACGAGCCGATAGGTGAGTGAAATTTGAGACAATTTTGAAATATCACGAGTGGTATTTATGCCAAATATCACGTACAAATCATGCTATTATTTGTTTATACTACTACCCCCAAAATGTTTGTAATTTTCACATGTAGGTATTTCAAATTAAGCTGAAATAACACTGTTCTAAGCCAATCAAATTGCAAAAATTTCTCATGTAGTAGTATAACAACTGTAATTTACGAGTGTAGCCAGAGAGAGTATGAAAACAACAGCTACACTTGTAAATTATACTTGTAAATGTTTTATTAAATTGACCCCGGTTTTCCAAATCCTGACCCTGTTTCAGACAAAAAAAATCTTATTTTTCACACACGTTTTCAGACCTGGCCTCTTAGAAGTTATGTCATTATTACTTTAATTAGGACGCCAACAGAATGATTTCTTAAAATTAATCTTTCTCTCTTATCCATTTGGAATGAAAACAATGAATATGTTCATACACTTCCAGAGTTCCCTCGAATACCACACCCAATTCCAGACCAAAATGAGCAAAGTCTATGCCCATTTATCAACCGAAACGGCACCAAACTCCAAACCCTTTGAGGCAGCACATACCTGTAAAGCTTATACATGTATAAGAGAGGTACCCACCGGGGTCAGATCAGTTATGGACCAACATAATAGTGAGAAGTTGGTTTACTGAAAAGACCATGATATTAATTTTTAAGCAACATGAATTTTCACTGATTTTAGAGTAACTTTAGTGGTAAATTTGTTCTCCTTGTGTTTACCTTGTTGTAGAGGCGTTCTCCGGATTCTCCTGGTTTTCTGTACGTCAAAGGAACTGCTTTACACAGCATTGAGCAAATACTTACAAGAAGAAGAACTCGAAGGGAGATGAGAGCCATCACCGTGGTAAGGAAAAGTCAGTTTCTTTTTTTTGAATGAAACAAAAGGAAAAATTAAGAGAATTCATAATGTTTGTGTCTGTTAATCAATTTGACCACGATTTTTAATTGTGTGCATTTTTTGGATCAGAGAGGTAACGTCAAAAAATATTTAACAGTCAGTGGGACTGGCGAAAGGTTCAACTGCGCAAATTTTGCTTTATTTGAACTTCGATATTTTGGGGGTTAATATTGATGGAATAGTCATCCGCTCATACACTTGACGAACTGCGCGCATCGTCAGTGATGGCATATGAATCAAAAAAGATACCACTGTTGGGCCCTTTGTTGGGAAGGCCTTGTGAGCATGGTGCCCGGGAGGGTACTCCTTATGATGGCCTATACGGGGAGGCTCCACCCGAAAGGGGGATTTCACTTGTTGAAGGATATAAAAGGCTCGGGAAATCTGTCTTTTGGGTCTGTGAAAGGGCCCAAAAGGGCGAACAGATGAATTTTGTGGCTTTATTAAGTCGAGAAAACGTTCTATTTTTGTGATTGATTCCTATTTAAAAGACAGTGCTTGAAATACCTAGTTTGAAATAAATCTTGTCCCCGAGAGGTTTTCGTCGCTCCATCGCGAACTATCAGGAATTAGGTTACAAAAGAAATAATAACCTCTAGCACACGGGGTAGACACATTTAGTCCTGATAAAACTGATTCCGACAGTTTGACAGTTATATCTCAGTATAGCGATATTGGCGAACGGACAAGTGTTACATGCATAGCATAGTCCTTTATTGTTGACTGAATGTCTTACATTCCACTGTAAGTCGGAATAGGAACATACAAATGATAAACTTGAAACTTGAAGTCGGTTTACTACTGGCACAAAACACACGTTTGAGCTCTTAAAAGGTTGTTCCTTGTGTCCAATAGGTGCAGTTAGTTTTATCAGAAAGTTGAGCAGCATCTTAGTTTGTTGCGTTTTCTAGTTCAGTCCGTTTTTGCCTTGTTTTTATTTTGTTCTTTACATAAGGAAGCTAAAAAGAAGTTTTGGACTGAATGCGACGGTCAGATAAGAGACTTCAGGAAGAGAATAGAACGCCAAGTTCAGTAGCTATCAAATATTGTGCACAAATGATTCGCTTTTTGGAAATTGTATCAATGTTTTGTCCCAATAGTCCACGTTCGATGTATTAAAATTAATATATTAAAATTCTAAAATGACTTTCTGGTCATTTTTCTATATTTGGTTATGTTTTCTTTGTGCTCAAGTTCTCTGGGAATTGCGAGACAATGGAGACGTTTGTCCCCAAAGCCTCGAAGTCATGTTAGAATTTTAAGATATCGAAGTTAGGCCCATTACACATGCACAGGAAATGATTTCCCGCGGAATTCCATACTATTGCCCTTTTAAATAGATAGAATATGAGCCAGTTTTATAAAAAGTTTATAATAGGTAATTTCTAACTTAAAACATACTTAATATGTAAAACAAAACCTTACGCGTTGCCGAAACCCTTTCTTGTTGAAGCGATGTCTACTAGCTTTTTCGTGAATGGTCGCTGTGGCCTTCAAAGTGTATCAAAGTGATTTTCCGCGGAGTTCCATACTATTGCCCTTTTAAATAGATAGAATATGAGCCAGTTTTATAAAAAGTTTATAATAGGTAATTTTTAACTCAAAACATACTTAATATGTAAAACAAAACCTTACGCGTTGCCGAAACCCTTTCTTGTTGAAGCGATGTCTATTAGCTTTTTCGTGAATGGTCGCTGTCGCCTTCAAAGTGTATCGACATGTATGTATTTTCATTAAGTTAGAAACATCTTGATGAGCTTAAACAGAAATGAATCTGGGCGTAGATAAACTCGAAAAAAATGAAGTCTTCACACTCAATGTGAGTTAAAAATGTGAAAAGGTTAATTCAAAAAATAAGGATTGCGCTATTTTTAACTGTGAGTATTTTTTGTTTTTGAACCACTGCTTGGGATTTATTTCCACGAAACTGAGATAATTTTTCCGTGCACATTGAATTTCTCATCGTGCACCTTTTTGTAATTAACATAGTTTCATCATCATTAGTATACAAAGTAAAACCGGATTTTAAGTAATACTTCATAGCTCTGCGGAACACAGTTTTGCATAGGTGGCGTCGATGCTTTGCTTCAAGGATTTACAGGAAAGTTGCGTTTTTATATCTTTTTTTATTAAAAATTGTTTGCGAAAATACTTAGAAAATGTGAAGGGAACTTTTAGTTACTTTGTACAAAAGAGAAAATTGTCTCGCAACATGCGCACCGTCACCATGCTATCATAGACACGTGTCTTTCAATTCATGGAAAATCTCTTAAAGTAGGTGGTCGTTACCGTTTTCAATTTTTCTTGGTTTGTATAATATTCGTATTACAAAAGACAAAATGTTTTTTACGTTTTCCTACCTAAAGCAGTGGGCTTGTTCTGCCTGCGCCCCAACGCAAGTTTGTTCAAGAGTCCTCTCGCTGATGAGCGTTGTATGTCCTTCAAGGGCGACGCGTAACTGTTTAAATACTTTGAAGTATCCCAAGCCCTATCACTGCCTGAAAGTCGCACATTTCCTGTCGCGTTTTTATTAAAGAGTTATGTCACTCAGAGATAACAAAACTTAGATGTTTTGGATGCCGACTGTTTCCCATTTGCGTGTTTACGCAATCATAGATCCTGTACCGTTTTGTACTTAAAACTTTCAGAAGCGTGAAGTGCTATCGTGTCATGATGGGTTACAACAACTTTAAAATGCATGTTATCTGTGGTCTTTTCTTAAATTCCTCGCACGATTTACCACTTGTTATCAGCTGAAATATTTCAGCACCTTTCGCTGACGTTCATCTCTTCTCATGTACTTTCACCAACCTTATCTCTTAGAGTCACGCCCAACTTCAAACTTTGGCTTGTGATATGCAGTCCACTGATTTTTTTTTAATATAAAAAAAAAAAACAATTTTAAAACAGTAAAAGATCTCCTATAAATGTAGTTAAGCAAGTAGGATATTACAAATGGCTTTGTATCTCTCCTAAACTTTGGTTTTTCTTTTGGAAACCTCGTTGTCACAAATTCGTGAGCGGATGAGAGGGAAAGTTTTGGACATTCTAAAAATATCATTAAATACTTTACCCCATGCTGCCGATCTTGTTCAATTGTTCAATCTGAAGCTATTTTTGGGCCCCGCCTTGAGGTTGAATAGTCCCATACAACGAATAAAGCTATGCAGGCTTTGTTTCGGTTACTGATGGTCGCTAAAGTTTTCTATTGTAGAGTGCATCGATTTTTGTCGTAACTGCTTAGCTGAGTTAATGTAAACATCCATGAGAGCAGAAATGCACGGGCTCGTGTATTACAGGAAGGATTAGATAAATATCTTTCTTATTTGACTGGTTAACTAAGAAAAGAGCAGTGACTGAGGCAAATTTTTAATCAGGAAATAGTTAGTTTCGGACTTATCATAAATGTTTTTTTTTTCTATCATTACAGCTCGCTTCCCACTGCGTGCGTGTGCCTGTCCCAGCTAGTATTTATATTTTATCCAGATCTCTCATTCAGATGATGTCTGCCCGGTTCTCCAAATCCTGACCCCATTTCAGACCAAAGAATGTCATTTTCAACACCCGTTTTCAGACGTGAGGAAGGTCACAAAACGCAACATACATGTTTACATAGACAGAAGTTAGGTCATCATTATTGAGATTAGAAGGCCAACAAAATTCTTTCTTAAAATACATTGCGATTCGCATATGTACTGTTTCTTTTTTATTTATTTGGAATTGAAACACTACACTACCGTAGTTCCGCAATTCCAGACCAAAATGGGCAAAAACTATACCCGTTTTCGGACCAAAACGGTGCAAAAACCATACCTTTTGGGGCGGCACATGCCCATATGGCTTATATAAGGGAGTAAACCCCCGGGCAATACTGGTTTTCTGACGAATTCGTGTCATCGTTTGACCTTCTTTGAAAGTTGGCGTAATTAGCTCATTAGAATAGATCATTTCCTCTATGGAGATATGTCGCAATTTCTCGTAGTTTTCTTTTTTCAGCTTAATGTATTACAACTAAAGCAATTTTCATTACATCACCGCGAAGATCACGTTTAATTTAAAAAAGGGTTGCATTTGTTAGTGCAAAAATTAGCTGGCTTTTGCATCTTTAACCGTCTCTGGAGAGTCAGCATCGGCACCATGCCGTCGAATTATTTTATCTTCAGACTAAGGGCTATATTTGGTATGAAGAGGACCACGTTTTTGATCAGAATCAGTGAGGGGAATATTTCGAATTCATGTGGCTTGTGACATGCAAAGGAAGTATTATCACAGGTTCAACTTATAAAAAATCAATTGCAGTAAGGTGCAAGACAAGTTAGGTCGAATTACGAGGTAGCTCCGAAACGACGGTCGTGTCGCCTCTCACCAACATGAGTACGCACAGTTAACTTCGAGGAAACACATTTCCAGGGTAAATCAAAATGTTGCTTATTCAAAAACGGCCCTAAGAATAAGAAATAAATGAAGAAAAAAATTTTTTGCGTTTTGGTTAAGGCGAGAGGAGGTAGGCGTCTTTGATCCCCTTCACGTTTCAAAGATCGGACAGTGCAAAGCAAAACATCTGACGCCAGCTATAATAAAGCGAATATATTAAATTCTGTTTTTCCCACAAGTTGCTGCTTAAGTCTCATCAATAATCTTGAGTGCTTGAGAAGAAAAGACGATTAGTAATTGTTGCAAATTAACCCGTCCACGTTGTAAATAATCTGTTTTCTTATCACGTACGTTATCACTCAATTTAAAAGACGATAAGATTCTCGGTTCTCGCTAATAGTCATAACAGACGTAAACATGGGTGCGGAGAATGTTTTAAATTGTTTATAAGTGGGCTGAAATCTCCTTAATTCCCTTAATGGTATTTATCACTGTTTCCTGTTCGAAGTATTTCAGTAATCTTTCTTGTTAATCTTGATAAAGGACATCCTTGATAGTTTTACAATCCCTGAACAATGCGTTAGTCAAGATGACAATTTGGGAAAGTAATCAGAATTTTTAGAAAAAGATCAGCGTTATGGAGTGCTTGATCTTTCGTTTAAACTATCGTAACTTTTCACCCATAGATCATACAGAAAAGAAAAGATTCTTTGAACATGTTTGAAAAGCAAAATAAAGTACAAGACAGGAAATACTGCTCATTCGCTTCTCAAAGCTTTAATTTGTTGCACTTCAAAATCTCATCCATCTACTTACTAGAAGTGTTCCTCAAAACGCTTTGATAATGGCTGTCAGGAAGCAAAGAATAATACAAACCTGATAGAAGGTAAGCCAGCTTTGCTTTGTACCCTTTCAAAATACAGGCTTTGTCGGGGCTTATTTGGTTTACTTCCGCTTCCTGCGTTTTAAAAAATTGATTCTAATGACCAACAGAGTTTGGGGTCGCTGCATTTTTAAATGAGTTGCAACCCTGTACTGTACGCAAGCTACAACTCGAATAAAAAAGTTGCTAAAACTACGTTTCCCAGTTTTATTTGCACTGGATCTTAACTGAAGTAAAGACCATGACGGCGATCACAAAATCAGTGCTCTTCGAGAACAGGGGACACTGAATACCTTAGATTCCTTGGTTAAACCTTTTGTAGTTGTGCGTTCGGCTCATAACGCTAACCAAAAGGGTTAGGTCACGCAATTTTAGCAATCGCTGGTTAAAAAGGAAGGAATGGTTTACGTAGGGTAGAGTATAGTACATTGAGATTACAAGCTGTACAAAATTCAGTGAAATTAGAAAGCGAAATGAGGAAATACTAATATATTCTGTTAAAGAGACTAAAATGTAAGAAGGCGTCCGCGACTAGACGAGATAGAACCCTTCCCACACTTCTAAACTCTGCGGCATCACTTAATAATTTATAGGTTAACAGCAGAAGAATGTCAAGCAATCATTTGTCAGATTTGTTGAAACACCGTGGAGTCTGAGAGCTCGTTGCAATTCCTGGTAAAGAATTGCAAATTTCTGGCTCCGGGCATAATCTGGAGTGCGTTTCTTTAAAAGCCGCTTGCGTGCCAAAAACAAACATCCCGGAAATCTTTGTTGAATTTCACCATAGTCACCATAGTTCTGAGTTGTTGTTGTTGTTGTTGTTTTTTTTTTCTGGAAATATGCTCTGCTAAGTGTGAACTTAACCCACGTTTAATATAGTAAACGTGATTTTCTACCTCTTGAATTAGGATTTCGTGATAAATAGAACCTGTCTTTGTTTAGAACTGAAGGAAACTACATTTAATGTTCTTACTGAATTACTGGAAAGCCGTTAGTGCCATTCGACTCGCGAAACATGGTGTTGCTCTGTGAGGAGTTGCGATTTCTGAACTGTGGTCTTACTAAAGGATCAGTTCGTTCACAAACTTGTAATAACAACTCCATTATTCTGGGTGTGGCAAAGATTCGATTAAAACGTGTAACACTGAATAGTAACTTCCTTAAAATTCAGTCAAAAGTTTAAACCGCAGAGTATGATTTACAGTTTTGTGTGCTGGAGTCTGACAAGGTTAAACTCAAATCCTATCTCTCGGATGTCCTAATTTAGACATTTAACGCTATGAAAGCAATACAGCCAAGTTTTATCTGTACTGGAAGAATTCGTTAGAAAATACTGAAGGATCTATCTACTCAAAAAAATGCCTCGGTTTTCGCTCATCAAAGTTGTACGTTAATCCTATTATTATAATTTCAGTGTCTTGACACAAAAAGATTCGATTCTGGGAAGTATTTTTACCAGCATTATCTTGAACACAATAAACCCTTTGACTTCCTGTAATTGAAGTAAAACTTCCTTTATGTAAAAGCAACCTGAACAAACAATAAATAATGAAATTGCAACTGGTGCGAAAAGGTCTCATTTGAATGGTCCGTCACTTCCTAGAAATTGGTAAACGGACTCAGAAGTTATAACCACCTTGTGCATTATCGTAAACAGCGCCACGAGAGTAGCTTTTATTACGATGGTTTACCCTTTAAAACTTTATCCACCGAACGAAGTCCCGAACCAAGTGAACGATCGCGATCCTAAGTCGACAGACTAGGCAGGAAGAACATTCTACTGTATAATATTTTCATAATTGACTTTGGGTGTGAAAGAGTCACAAAATCAGGTCTATATAAATTAATTACAAATAAATCGTGGGAAAGGTCATCCTTAAATGAATTTTAATTGTTGTCTGCGTAGTTAAAGGAAGGTTAGAAAATAATTTCCTGTGGATAGATTGATGTTGACCACGGAATTACAAGAATATATAAATATTTCCTGAGTGTGTGTTAGCTAGACACTCACAAAATGGCATGAATGATTCAAGGGTGAGATATAACAATCTCATTATACTTACATTTAAAAAGACTTTTCTGTCGCTGTGAAAACCAGAGTCATTTTGAAACTATGGTAAGGTCGTTTCTCTAGCCACCCTGAGTTTGTCTGTGTCTTTGACCTTCTGCGGTCGTTGTATCCTAATATCATGCATT